ACTTTTGTTTGAGTCTCTTGGTTGTATAGACATCTGATCCGCCACTAAACCCCGTCATTTTATCATGTAATTCAGAAAGAGTGTACAAATCAGCATCACCTTCAGATTCCAGCCAATTGCATAGCATCTCAAACAACCGTTTCATTTCTTCATCTTCTGGTCTCCCTTTAATCGTGTTGTCTGTTTTGGCGTCAACATTTTTAAGAAGTATAAACCGCGAGTAACAATTGCCATGATAGATGGCCTCAGCCGCAACTAAATCAATACATCCATGAAGTCGATTTTGAACTTCAGCTGCCCATGGGTCTCCCCTCTTTTCACAACACTCTAGAAGTTTATCACGGAATGGGAGGGTTGTCACTTGGTATACTTTCGCTCTCTCAGGATGACGAGTATCAACTTGYGCGTGTTTACTACAAAACATACAATTTTCATTCCAAATGAAAGGCGTCAAGCTCGATCGCAATTTTTTGGAAGAAGGCTCCTCTAYATTACTACAAAGCAATCGTTTCTGGTCCGTGAAATCTCTTCGGCAATTTGCATGTACCACCACCTTTCCAATCGGTGTTGTACTAATACGTTCATTTAGATAACCTTTTAGATCTAACAAATCTCGCTTCTCACTGTAGGCAATAAGAGTCAACAACCCCTTTTTTGTTACAGTTACAGATTTTTCTTCTTCGCTAAATGCACGCCTACATATTACACACGAGTCTTCGTCAATTGCTGACATATTATAGCCGGTGACCAAGGCCAGTATACATATAATAAAGATGACAGTATAACCTATAGGCAGTTAAAGGATGGATTGTTATCTAGCAATTTTGTTATAATTTATTTCATATTCAATCATACATTTTTATTTTAACCGACAATAGATTAGATAGTAATAATGATAGTTTAAACAATTCATTCTAAATAATGATATTGATCTCTATATGTTTTGGCAATATAAATATAATAATTTACTCTGCATATTGAATGTCTGCTTGTTATTAGTGTAATTCAACAGAGTTCTGGGGACTTGATGAACACGACATGATTGAGTAATACCACAAAACGTCAAGGTTTACTCATAATTGCTCACAAGGGCACAATACACTACTTAATTAGATTGACACCTGTTAAGAGGTGGTCTACAATCATTAAATTCGCTATATCTGCTAAAATACCGGGTAAAATAGCATACGATTTTCAAGGAAATTTAATCTTATTAAATCTTTAATCTTAGTCCTCATGATAGAACCGCATGGCCACGAAATTAACAAGAAGAAATCAATTATTTTATCAAACGAGGCCCATGCATCATACAGTCTTGATTAAATATTGTTAAATTAGAATTTTTAAGTTATTTAAAAAAAACATAAATAAATAACAGAATTTAAGCTATTTATAGCGTATTTCACCTGAAATTCACTTAAATAGATAGAAATTGTATTTGTAATACTGAGCGTTCTCGTAAAACAATGCAAATCGTAAAAATTATTTTTAAACTTTCATAATTTGTTTTCCCCAAAACGGATTTTAGCGGATTTTGGATATGTTGTTCTCCTAATAATTCTGCGTCTTTTGATACCAAATTTGCTTCTATACCATTTTTTTCCGGGTAACAGCTAAATTTTTGGTTTGACGACCAGACTATTTTGTCTGTTTAGCGGTGTGTGTTTATGAATTAAGACTGAATAAATTCAATTGGACCGACAGACTTCTGGACTGAAATCGTTGAAGTGAATCAAGCAAGCAGTATATCTATAGTGTTATGAATTTCTCTCGAGCCCTCCCATTCTATCAAACTGGTATATTATTAAGGGCCCTTCAGTTTGTAAAACCCTAAAAATGACCACATTTTACCCTTTACTCAGACCTTAACACATTTACATCTTTTTTTCCTGTTTTTTAAGAATATTGATACTATTATTGTTTTTTTGTTTTTTGTTTTTCATTTCTTTAGGTGATCAGCAGTCAGTTGCTTCGCCATTCCTACTTCAACATCCCTATGGTCAATGCTGTGTTTAGACGATCTGAACGCAGAGCAAAGACGTTTAGCTGCAACTTTCGCGTAGCGATTGGGGGTAGTGAGATCATTATTCCTGCTGTGACTTTCGTCCCTGAGGTAATTAAGCTAAAGCGCTTCAATGACGGGTCTCCTTCGCGGTTCCCTGCGCCACCTTTAAAGGTAGCCGTGCCTTTATTTAGAGACGAGACGACCGTTGAGCGTGTAAATGATAGAAACACCTACATACAGGTATCAATCATTGCACGCTCAGTGGTCGTCTCGATTCGATACAAAATCTCGGCTACCTATCAAGATGGCGACGTACTGTTATTGTGTTGACCGACAATACTTCGATTTCGAGTTCTGGTTTGCTCTGTGTTAGCCTCAAAACCAAGCAACAAATTCTTTTGTTTCAATGATAGCCCGAGAAAACGCATGGAATTTGACAAGAAAGACAATAGAATTGATTTGAAATCTCACACTTTTATTCTCGCAAATAGGAATATTTTGCGCACAAATGAGGCTAACACAGAGCAATGGANTCTGCCTTCCCTTCTAACAAATATACTCTTCGCTCCATGCACCGTCCTTTTTTTTCTCAGGAATTTTTATGTGTGTTTGTCGATGTGCATAATGAAGGTAAGCAAACCGAACCGTTTCCTCACTCTTTCATTTTCCTTTTCGCATAGTCAAATTATTTGTACAGTAACGAAATCAAATACTTACAAGATTTATTTTGATAGTCATCATGAACAAGTAAGGAAACAATCTGGAAGAGTTTGTTGGAGGTTGACAAATCTGTCACTCAATCACTCACTCGCTCACTTTCGTGTAAACTGTTAAAATTGTATAGCCGCCAATGATAATGGCCGACGTAGTTGTTGAATAAGCTAACTCAAAAAGGTGTATTTGAATTATTTATTATTTGTGAAGAGGCATAAAATTTCGCCTTCACTAGCACTTTCAGCAAAGTTGGTGGAAAGAAAAATGTAAAGTTTATTTGTTTTTTTTTTAGATCCTTCTCTATCCGAGAGGCAGACTCTTCTCAGTGAAGTGCCATACGACATAATGTACCAAATGTGTCGTAAGCTTGATATACCAGCCAGAGAAAGAGGGCAATGGCGGGACGTCGGGCGCCATTTTGGTGTTTCCGAGGTTGATCTCCAGTCATGCTGTCGGGAGTATGCGTCCCTCGATGGTAGTCCGTCAAGGGCTTTGATGGAAATTATTTCCTTTCAAAGACCTAAGCTAACTGTTGGGGAACTGATAAAATTTCTGGAGGAACATGGACGCGGGGATGTGGTTTCTGTCTTGAGTAAAGTCAAGGACTAAAAACGTCTATTTAGTATCGCTGCAAACTTTACATAGCTTTGTTTTTGCTTTGTTTTTACAAAAAAAATCAATATGAAATCAATTTAAAGCAATACTCCATTTTCGAATCCAAAGGAATAACCGCTGATTTATTTGATAGCAGATTGATTCTCTTACGCAAAGACCTTACAAACGAGAAAATGTTGTGAGTACAATAGCGCTAACAATTTACATTTTCCCCTAGTTGAGGTTAACCCTGTATTCCCAGAAGGTTCATACCTTAGGTCTTATGGGAATACAGGGTTAGTCTCAACTCGGAGAAAATACCAATTTTCAAGGTTATAGTAATAACGACATTTTCAGGTGCTTTCTTTTGTGTTTGGTCTAAAGATCTTTGCACAAGAGAGGCTGCGCGCTGTCAAATAAAGAGGCGGTTGTTTGATTTGAATTCGAAAATCATGGAGTATTGCAGATAAAATTTCGACCTGAAATTTCCCTAGTATAATAAATGGTTTTATTTTTTAACACTTTTAATAGTCTTAGTAGTGAAAGCCTGCTGTAAAGACAGTAAAACATAATGCAAAAGATCAAAAGGCTTGAATAGTGTAATTTCATTTATCTTTATTCATGATTAGCTATGATTTTAGCTTGAATCTTATGATTGAATCTAATTACAAGTGTTGAGTGTGGTTAGCAAGAACTATCGCATTGATAATGACTTTCTTCGCATATTTCCGCAATAGTCCCAGAGAGAAGACATTCAATTTTCTTGGCTTCGCAAGCTGATAGGCAGAATGAATGGGGAGGTCTTGGCTCAGCACTGGCTTCATCACAAACAGCAATAAAACAGATGACGGCAAGCACGGAAAGCATGATGAGTCTCATCTATAGAACAAATATTTTGATACTTAAAAGTATTATTTATCAATTAGATTTTGAAAGCTAGAATTATTAAATATATATGGATAAAATAATCGTATGAGGAAGTGGCTGATCCCATTAAGTATTTAAATACTGTCTGATGAGTGCGTAGCACGAAACTCGGAGTTACAGCAAAATCTTAAATACTGTCTGATGAGTGCGTAGCACGAAACTCGGAGTTACAGCAAAATCTTGCCTCTTTGATATCATATATATGGATAAAATAATGTCTTTTTTTTAAAAACGTCACTTCAGTACCAATGACATTCTACAAGCGAATAAACATTTGTATGAAATGCTGTGAGACATTTAGTTTCTTCATTTATCCAACGAATCATTTCAATGTTCTTTCATTTCTACATGCATCTTTATTTTATTGACGTTTCTGCAGTTTTCAAATTCACATCTATTTGTTCGTTTGATTGATTGATTGATTGATTGTTTGATTGATTGATTGATTGATTGATTGTTTGATTGATTGATTGATTGATTGAATGATTGATTGATTCAGTGATTGATTCAGTGATTGATTGATTGATTCAGTGATTGATTGACTTAATGATTGACTGAAACATTCAGACCCTTTAGGCTCTCTAACCTTCGACTTTTACTAATAGTCAGTCCTAGATGAAAGATGGCGCTCTTTTTGAATACTTGATCGCTGTCGGTTCTCGTTTCTCAGTTTTTTTGTTATCATGTAGGTCATCAAGAGAAAATGAGCTCATTTTCTCTTGGTCATTGGCCATTTAGTCCGGCGTCGGTTAAATTCTAAGTATCTTATTGGTAATGAATCGATTAAGAACTCTAAATATCAAAGTGTCATCTATCGATAATCGACCAGGATATCGGAACTGACAAGCGTCTTGTACTGATAAAAGCTGTACGAATTAAGATAACATGTACAGGTGCATGATAGTGTAGCGCCAAAAAGAACAAAGAAAACGTGAAAAATGATGAATATTTTTATCGTCGCGCTTCACCGCTTTCGCTATTGTCGCAAACAAGCAATGCTTTGAGCATGAATTGAAGAATTGGACGGCTCAAGAGATTATTATTAGATGTTTTCTAGTTGTTTAATAGGGAACTCTAAGTTACTATTTATGAATTTAAGTAAAAATGTTTTTGTTTGTCTGTAAATGAGATATCAACTCAGGATATCAGAAAACCTACTATTTATATCATTTCAAAAATGCACCASCATGCATCATAGCTCTAATTTCTTGCGGAAAAGGTATACGTTTACTACCCTACAAGCAACCAAAAAAGGGCACTAATAACACAAAAACTTCCATGCGAGGTTGGTTCAGTCACTCACATTTGGGAAAATAGAAAAACAAGAACAAGAAATGACATTATTTGAACTGGGACAATTCCCGGAGCACAAATGACTAGAGGATTATAAAGCCAAACTTACCTTGTTTTGAGTTCTACTTTCAGTCAGAAATCAGAAGTTAAGCCAGTCAAATACAATTCAAAGACTGGCMCAATCGCACAGTGCTTATATAGCTATATACCCATTGATTGGCCACCTCCCATTATTGTTCAAAAACTAAGAGGGGTAGGGAGGGTATCTTTTTCCGTCAGAGAACTTTTAATTTAAAAATTAACTGAGCTGGGACAGGGTTAAATCAACGTCGGACATATCATGAACATATTACTCTAAAACCAGAGCCAAGGCCTTAGTTCAAAGAGGTTAGGGGAGTCACCATTTCGACCATTTTTTACGTTTCTATTAACCTGAGAAGGGTAGGGCAGTTCATAGAATTCCGTAATATRATCGTAAAATTAATAAAATTCGATGAGATTTCCAAATATTTTAAATTGAAGTATTACATCCTGTCTAAGATGGTAAAATGAGTGAAATTCAAATACTGCATGGTAATCAACAAGTAAGATGTGAGGTCGAGTTCGTACGACCGAATCGACTACAACTCGTAGTTGACGAGAGGAATGGTCCAATTGTTTTAGTATAATCCAGAATAGTCTCTTGCGAAAATTTGAAAAAGACAAAAAAATATTTTTTATGTATTTCGCTTCATTCGATACGACCATATCATGATCTATCATAAATAGACCATAGTTCAGTAGCCAACCAGAATGCTAGCTTTGTGAGCCCGTAGCAATATAGCTTAAACTATCTTTTTAGGCGTATTACGATATGCGACAAATGTTATTTCCGCAAGAAAAAGATCACAGCGATAATTAGATTATGAGACGATTGATAGTGAAAAATATTCGCTTCTTGACATTGATCGGTCTTTTACTTCAGTCATAAGCAGATTGTATTGACTGTGGTGTAGCAGGTGCTTTTTAATTCAAAATCATGAATTTGATAAGCTAAAATCACATAGATGTAAGTTTTACACTCTGGTATAAAGCTCTTTGTAGTTGCAATGTTGGAGTACGTTACATTATGCAAAAAAATAAAAATAAAATAAAGCAAAAAAAATAAGTATATAACAACTCATAATGTTCGCCATTTCAAATCGACTAACGTCTTTAATAACGATTWTTATCGCCAATAATTATCCTGTAATGGTCCAGCTGACTGCTATCAGAGGAAACCTTTGATCCGGCTCACCCAATTAACGACTAATTTCAAAACCCTCCGCAAACAAAAGATAAAACTGATGTCCATCGATATAAAAACTGTCCGAGATACACTCGTCATCGGCCAGCCATTTTCACACGTATCTGTACGATGCGTCGGAAGTACAAGTAGATGATAAATGAAAAGGATAAAATTGCTGCGTAAAAGGGATAGATAGTAAAAAATTGTCTACTGGGAAAAACTCATGGATTCAACAATTTTCACCCATAACATAAAAAGAATAGATCGAAATAAAATTGAACATTCATGAGTACATTGTTGTAGTGTTTTACTAAAATGCCCCTAGCAAATATATATTTTTAAAGCAAATTTACTCGAATTTGCTTCTATCTAAACAAAAAATGCTACACAAAGAAACAACTTTTRCCATTTTTGTGCAAGTTTATTTATTTGCRTGTGTTTTCTGCGAGTTTTAATTCTACAAATGAGACCTGTTTTACGAGGTATCTCTACCAAATATCACTTAGTTCGGGATCTCACGTCAGGCGACTCATGTCGGCAGGGACTGGGGACGAGGAGGGAAAACAGGCCCTCTCTCTATGATTTCCCCTCCTCTGGCTCGCCGTAAAAAGACAGGTATCCCAAGAGAAGCTAGGAATACAGGTATCTAAACCTAGTGATTGTAGGTCAAGCTTTATAAGCTGATATGTTCAAATGTTTTTACGCTATGAAACAATGAGGAGTATCTTCTCAGTTTTTAGTCTTTATAACTTCTCCCTCTTTACTAGGGATGAGCTCAATATAATTAGCAGATCTTGCAGATCTTGGATAAGCAAATTTGTCAATTGCGGGATACAAGCACTGTTGTCATTCTCACCGCATATCATGACTATATCATATTAATCATAACTCAGAAATGAGTCCATAATTGAAATGACGCTGATAGACAAGCTCAAATAATTTGAATCATACTAATGTCTGAGTCGTGATTGACAGGGGCGGATCAAGAAATATCTGAAGGGGGGAGCATCACAGCCTTTTGAAAGGGGACACCTTACAGAATCTGGTGTCTTGTAAAGCTGGGCAGGCCCCTCCCCTAGATCTGCCCCTGGTATGGCTGGTCATAAGCAATAATATCGACGGCTCTATATAGGTTTCGACTCGACGCCCTGATGATAATGTCAAATTTGCGTAGACCACCCTTTGATTCATACAACATAATAATGAAGTATCGCTGAAGATGATTCAGACGCTCCTTGATGTAGTCGTGTCAACGTGTGGGGCGTTGGACGAACTGCGTCGCCATGCCTTTGCAAGATTCATGCTATTAATCGCTGAATGAGAAGAAATTTTACACAAGAGATGAAATTTTTCTGGAAAATTGAACAGCTAATGCAATGCAAACGGAACGCAGACATGGTAGCTATTTCAGAAACCGTTGAGTGCTGACATACTACAATACCGAAATGCATTGCTGGCAGACTTGGTCTATTAGTGTTTTTGCTCACGTCGAATGAAAAAAAAAATACATCTCCGTATAAAATATCTCCTCCGGACAACGACTGAGTACTTTGAATCTTAGTGCCGTCCCTGTATTGAAATAAAAATAGTGGAGTTTAGTCGGAAACGAAATCAGCGTCCCCTCTATGTGCGGCCCTTCTTGTCCACAGGGATCCCGTGATGATCGTGCTCTTTAGTCTACTTACCGTAACGGGATGCACTACACGGTCTACGCGACATTCAGGTGGCTCACGCATGAACTGAAAAATAGATTGAAAGCGTAATCCCATAGTTATTAAATAAAATATCACATATGCCAATCCGGTTGAGTTGCCCGTGTCAAGTCTGTGTCAAGTCAGTTCAAGTGCGTACAAGCTTTTGCAGAGAAGCCCTGGGAACGAGGTTGGGTTGAAGCAACGTTGTACTGTCAAAGCTTGCATGTTTCTCTTGTCGATCAAGGTATCAACAGTATAGCGCGTCAAAATTGGCAAATCTATACAATAAGTTTCATTATCTATCGAAAGAATCAATTTCTACATACAAGACAATTGTAGTCCATGCATTTCGTCTCCATGTCACTCCGAACAACAACTCTAAACCGCGCACTTTTGCTTGTATCACAATTGGCGAAAATTGTGAAGTCAACTTTAGCACAGTCTGTTGGAAGCCGGCTATAGACGGGCTTGGACTCAATGGTTTCTCTTTTGACATCTCGCTGTAAGTACAGTTGGATATTTTAAGGGAGCTATCATTGTTTATTAAGGGGGGA